TTACCGCCTATACTTTTCCCAGAGCCTGATGAATGGCCTTTGAGCCTGAAAGCTTGCAGACAAGGATATGCTTTTGCAATTTCTTGGTGGATCTAATAAAAGGTATCACTTTGGAACCAAGAGTTCTAGATTTTTGTATTTCTACAGGACATAGGACACCTCTATTTCCTGCCCCTCAACCCCTTCCCTGCCCAGTGGGTTGGGCTTCAGGGTGGCTTGGGCTTCATTCAATGCCTGACCCATTTTCTGCAGCTCCCCTCAGGGGGAAACCGCAGCATACGGCTTGTGTGTGGGGAGAACCCCTTAGCAGGCACAGCCCAGGCTGGGCCAGCCTCTAGCCACTTGTTCCAAGTCCAGAGGCCATTCACGTCCCTTCCATCAGGGGAATGACATTTTTTTTTTATTGGGCCCCGGGCCCCGAGGCACTGCAACACGGGGCCGATGCATGACCGCCTTAAAGACACTTTCCCTCAGAAAACCCGGGGCAGTGCATGGTTGGCTAGGTGAGCTTTACTCCCAGGCCCACGTGACTCGCGGGAGAAGGCGGGGGAGCGTGAAATCCACATCCGGGTGAGAAGTCCGTCTCCGCGGGTGGGTGCGTGTGTGGGGCTTGGCCGTGCGTGGCAGGAAGCGGCGCCGGTGCCCGGGGGCGGGGAGGTCGCTGCCAGCCGCAGCGCATCGGCCGCAGCCGCGCGGGGTGAAGGTGCGCGCGCTCGGAACAAACGTGGTGTGGGGGCGGGGCGGGGCGGGGGGAGCCGAACGTTTGGGGCGTTCTACACAAACAGACCAAACAACTGTCTCAACTGTTTCCGGGCGGGGGAGGGGAGGATTTCGGAGTCCCACCTGCACTGGATTGCCCTATTCCCTCCCGTTCACAGGCCACTGTGCTGCACAGTCCCACCTCTTCCCCGGTGCTGGGAACAGCGTGGGTACATGTCTTCTCTAGGCCAAACCCAGCGATAGGTCTCCCTGGCCCCCCTGGGGTGAATGCCTGTGGCAGGGAAGCTTTTCACTGGTAGCGGTGCCCTTTCTCTCCTGTGCTTTAACAAGATAGTGCCTTTTGAAAAGAAGGTCCCCTGGTTGTTCTTCTAGGCTTGGACTTGGGACAGCAAAGTGCTCTTCCTCCCCCACATGCTTTCTGTGTGATCTTGTGCCTGGTCACTAAGTATTGGAGTCTAAAAGGACATACGAGGGCACCTCAAGCTGTAGGCTTGTGCCCGCTGGGATTTTCAAAAGTACTTCTGTGCCTTATTCCCATTGATATCACGACATCACATATTAAGGTGTTTCTTGGGTTCCAGCAAGCAGGACTTGTAGTAGAGATGATCTTATTAGCTCAAGATTTTTGCAAAAAAAAAAAAAAAAATCTTAATGGCAAGTTTTCAGGCACAAACACCCTTCATGAGGCATTGGAGAAAAGATTGTAAAAGTTCTCCTGGGTAGAAGTGAAAGTTTATATTTCATAGGATATCAAAGAGGAGTTAATAGACAGAAAACTCCTCTGGGCAGTTGGTTCATAGCTGGTATGAAGCCTCTCACCTGTGAGGATCTGTGAAGATGCAAATTACTTTGAAACAAAGGCAGGAGCAGTGTCTCATGTTTCAGGTGGCCACAGTTGCTTCCTGTTTGGGAAAATATGAAAATTTCATTACAAAAATCTTGGGCTCCAGGCACCCGTGTGCTTTTAAAAATCTGGGCCTTGACTTTTTTTCAGCCACTGTGCTTCATCTGTAAAGACAGTAGTGGTTGCCCCTACCTCAGACAGCTATCATGAGGAAAAAATAGATTCAAGATTGCATAGTGCTCAGATACTGTGGCAGTGGGTGCCATATCAGTCCAATAGATGGTTCTTTCTTTCTTCTTTGTGACTGAAATGTCCAGTAACTAGTAGGACCCCTCTTCCTCAAGAGAGAAATTCATTGCAAAAGTTGGATGTGGCTTTGGGCAAGTGGCTGTGTTTGATTTAGCAATGATAAGCAGGGGTGATAGGCAGGGTGAATAATCTGCTTGTCATTAGCACCTTGGGATCTTTTAATGGCACAAGAGTGTGTATGGAATGAGGACATGATAAAACCATCAGTTTCTACAGAATTAGTTTGTGTTTTGGGTACATGGTTTAAAGAACATTTCTAGATTTGAAGGGGGAGCATAACTCCACAATATAAATGGGTGCAAATGTGACTTTCTGAGTCTGCTTCAGGGAGCTGTAGTCAGTGGGGCCTAGTATCCCAATCTGCAATAGCAAAGTGGCACTACTGAGACTCTGGCTTGCTTTGCTGGTGCTATTCAGGAGCAGGAGCATTGCTCTCAAAAGTAATGTTCATTTCGCTCTGCTGATTACTTGAGTAGCGGAGGCCTTCTGAACCATTAAGCAACTGCAAAGAGGGCCTTTGGCAGTAGTAGTACAGCAGTCAGGAGATTTTGGTTGAGGAAGATGAATTTCTTTCTTGAAGGACACTATCTGTCAGGAGTTTTTTCTTGAGAATCAGTTACCTGGCAAAGTGGATTTGGCCAGACTTAAGGTCTGGAGGACAGTGTTTGCAGGATGGAAATTGAGCCAGCCTCTTACTTAAATTCACATGCCAGGGTCCAAGCTTAACTGCTACTTTGTGGAGCCCTGTCTGTGTGTGGTACTCCTATTTTCCATGTCTGCAGTCTTACTGTTAAGTCCAGTAATACATGGTTTGGCATCTTCCTTAATGCTTCAATGCTGCTTTGATCAGGGCTTCGATGCCTAATTTTGAGCAATTCAGTTTTTTATAGTGGTGCTTAAGCACCTACTTCTTTCCTGTCTTTGTGTTTGTTCATATATTTTATGTCATGTTTTACCTGGAGATTTGGTCCTAAGTGCCTTTAAGTTTATATTTCTGCATCTGATGTGGCATATCAGTACCAATCTCCTAAACAGCTAAGCAGAAGTTGGTGATAATATTTGGTGCTTTGCTTTTATTTGTAGATTGTTAGCAGTTCTGTCCACCACAAGGCAGACAGAAGAGATTCTGCTCAGGGGTTTTAAGGTGTGTCCAGAAGTCAACATGTCAGCTCAAGATCAGGAGTAAATAAGCATATCTGCTACTTCTGCTTCTTTTTTTTTTTTTGTTGCTTTGGAGTCTTACCAGAACATGTATGCATGCCTTAGTCTGGACGCTAAGAGAACGCGGGGAACATCTCAGAGCCCTTCTCAAGTTAGTCCAGGGAGACTTTTGTAAGTCTGGTGCAAAATTACTTTGAGTTGTTTTAAAAAAGAAACTGCTGAGCAGAGGAACTTCATGCACGCGTCACCTGCATCAGCATATGTGTAGCTTTGTGCCTCACGTCCCTGAGTGTAGCCTCATCAGCAAAATGTCCCAGGATGTAATTTTTGAGGACTAAGGTCTCCATCAAGTTTTGAAGTTTCTGTGCTGAAATATTTGGTATCAGTGTTCTGGTTCACCTGATGACATGGATCCTGTACAGAAGAATTTTGAGGTAGGAGGCATTCATTACAAGACAGCTTACTGTCCTTTGACATTGTGGTGTCTTATTTGTATGTTTCAAGTATCCTCATAGGAAGTTAATGGAATTTCTTGCACTCCATATTCCCAGCTTGCTAATGCTAACAGTGATTAACTATTACTAATATTCTTGGGGATGCATCCATTTGCCCCCTCTGATCCTGACGTGTATCGAGTCTCAGCTGTGAGGCTTACATATTGCTTTAAACTTAGCTTGGACTCAGGTTTTTGTATTACTTGCCCTAAAATGGTTACTTGATCCTTGAGAGTTTTCTTTTTGTCACATAAAACTATGTCTTTGATACCAGCCTGTTTGCATATTTTGCCATGTGATACAACAACTTATGTGGTTTCACTGGTTTAGTTTAGGTCTTTCCATTGTTAAGGCAGTGTAATCGTTTGTTTGAAATTAGGCTGATTTCAGAATGATGCTAAACCATGTGGGTTCAGAGGTGTCAGAAGACTCTTCTGAAACTAGTATATTTCCACTGCACAGGAGTGATTGAATTGTATTCTTCAGGGCAAGTGCTAACAGTTCCCCAGTTTTTAAAGAGCTGCTGAGACCTAGTAAATATGGCATGTGCCTGAGAAGTTGGCTTCTGGAAAATCATGTCCCTCACCAAGTGGAACAGAAACACAACTGTGGTAAGGTGTGAACAGACTTTCACAAACCTTTTTGCTTAAGAGTTGGCAGAATCCTTTGCCTCTATTCAGTTGAGTCCGCACAGTTTATTTGACAATTGTTAAACATATTAACTAGTACATCACTGTGTTATTGTCAGGTTCACTCCAAACTTTCTTCTTTTTTTATGATGCTTGTATTCAGAACTTCCGTGTGTCCATGGAATGATCACCTGGTCTTGTCAAAATGGCTGAAAAATAACTTTCATCATATCTCAGTATGTTTCTTATGTGAAAAATTTTATGTGGTGTGTGAGCTTTGGTTTGTGGAGTAAATGAGGCTTAGGTTCCACAAATTAATTTTCCTTATACGTTTCTGGAAGGTAAGATGGTGCTTCATATCTCTATGCAGATGCTATTAATGAAGAACAATAAGGTATGACCTTAACTTTGCATAAAGTGTAAATGATTACACAACTTGTGCAAGGAATTATTGGGGTGATATCTTTTATTGGATGGGCTGTGTAGTTGGGATAGTGTTAAACAAGTTTTTGAATGCAAGACATTCTTCATCAGATGTGAGTAGTGAGAGGCAACACAGCGTGCCATGATACCAGTGCGAATTAGGCCCAGTGTGCCATTGTGGCTGCAACATCACTCTAACATCAGATTTATGTTTTGATGTTTTTTGATTAGGGGTGCACCAGTAGAGATTTTTTGGGCTGATACCAGTGGCTGATTTTTAAGGAGCCATATTGACCAATCCGATTCTGATATGCAGCTGGGCAGCTTGGAGACCAGTGTCAGGCTAGTAAGTCTGGTGTGGGGAAAGGGGCAGGGAAGGGATGTGGGGGGGTAGATCGAGGCCCCCATGGTGAGGGAGGGATTGGGCTCTTCCCAGTGTGGGTGTTGGGCTGGGGCTGAGCTTGGGGTGGTTGGTGGCAGTGTTGGGAGGGGGCTACGGGGAGGCCTGCAGCCACCCCAAAGTTTGCCATAGCCCTGCTCCCAGCACCACTGCTGCCTGCCTTGGGTGCAGCCCCAGCCCGCAGTGACAGTCTGCCCCACCCTGTGTGCAGCTCCTGGGGCACATGCCCCCCCATGCCTTCCCAGGGTACACGCAGCAGTGGGAGCTGCCCCCCTTGGATAAGCCACTTGCAGCTCCGTCCCCTGGCCTGCCACACCCTGGCCCTCCCTCACTGCAGGGGCCTCAGTCTTCAACCTCCCACACCCCTTCCCTCCTCCCACCCGTTCCCCTGCACCAGCCTTGCCAGCCAGATGCTGCTCTCCAGGCTGCTGGGCTGCTGTCCTGGCTACGTGTATGCTGTGGCTGCGCACATGCACAGGGCATTTATTGGCCACATTGGGCAAAAAAAGCCGATTTCCAACACTGTCAATTTTCCCTATATCGGTGCCGATCTGATATGGAGCCGATGTGTTAGTGCACCTTTATTTTTGAGGTTTTGTTTCTGTTCACATACCCTATTTCAAGCAATCTGTAACGTTTAGGATTGCTAAGGAGAAATGTCTTATTCTTTCATTGTGTGTGTTTATAAAATAAATAAATTCAATCTTGCTGTTGGCATGGCCT